GCCACAAAATCCACACTTTAAACAACCTGTTTATTTAAGATTCCTTAATCTTCTACTCTCAAATTTATGCAAAACAAATTAGTCAGTTTCCTGTAACATAGTTGTAATAAGGTGAGCCACTGGGAGGCAGGATGACCCACACAGCAGATTGCTGCACATTCTACATTGCTTGGTGCAAATAAATAATAATTATTTCCTCCTGACAAACTACATTTTGTGTAAACATGTACAAAAACTTAAAAATAGTTTTCTGTCAGATGAACTAAATTCTTATAAAAAACAGTAACCATTTCGATATATATAAAATGCAATGCTACATAAACAATCTAAGCAACATTTAATGCTTTCCATTATAATTTTACAGGTAATATGAATATGAATGACTTTATTCTTGTAAAATGGCTGTTTCTTTCTGTTTAGACCAAATACAATCCGTGTGTATAACTGCACTACTGGGTCAGTGAATCCCATAACTTGGAAAGATTTTGGCATTCTGACACAAAGTCATGCTCGTGAAATACCAACACGATATGTCATGTGGTATCCTGGCTTCACTTTCCGGACTAATCATTTTGTCCACAAGATCTGTGAGTTGCTCTTCCACTTCTTGCCAGCATTTGTGGCTGACCTTCTACTCAGGCTGCATGGAGCTAAACCAATGTAAGTCTTCCTTCTAATGATTCATAAACAGCAATTTATTACAGAATGAACTATTGATGTACCATACTATTCTTTCCTATTCTTTCCATAGCCTATTATTTTTTACCCAGACTTTAGTGGTATCTAGAGGATAGGTGAAAAGCATCCCCTAACTTTTGTAGTTTTTAGATGCCTTTGTTTAACTGTGTAGTAAATTAAACTTTAAACAATTTAAAATTTAAAATTATATCTTTTAATTCCATCTGCTACCACTCTGGTTGAGAGTATTAAGGTTGATTTACACATATCACTGACATGTCAGTTCTTTATCAGTGCAATCCATTCAGTATCAGTGCACAACATTTACACATCTCCAAAGCAAATCACTGCTGCATTAGTGGGATGCCATTTTTTGAAGTTAGATCATTTTCTATTAAGGACTTAACCACCATCAAATTGTTTTTAGACAAAGAGGATAAATAAAGCAATAAAAATAAGTGCATATGGGTACAAAAGGCATGGAAGAAGCAAGCGACTCTGCATAAAAAACTAATGAACAACAAAAGCAAGTTTTATGAATATGTATTGCAGAATATTATATGTTATTAATAAAATATAGAATACTTTACAAAAGCAATATACCTATTGGAGTAAAGCAGTAGCACCAAAGGAGTTTCGGCATTGTGTTTACGGTATGAAAATAAAATTACTTGCTAGACGGTAGTACTTATTTCAAAAAGTTGTAATTAATTAATTACAGATTTATAAAAATGTTTAGATCCAACATTTTATTTTAAAATCGGTAACATTACCTTCTAGTTTCATTTGTTATCCAATTTCTTCCTACATTCTTTCTGTATATATATGTAACAAATTGTACAGTTTGGCATGTGGTTAAATGAGCTTTGTCAATTTCTCATTGTTCATTTTGAAATTCACATGTGCAAAGTTTACCTCATAAATGCTGAGAATACACTGGAATAACTTGAGTCACTGACTCTGAACACTAGTCACACATACTATATCAGATCAGTGACATTAGTGTCAGTGAGGTATGAGGAAATATTATTGCCAGCTATGACAGGCAGCACTGCATTTACACTGATGGGAACCAGAGAGCAGTGTGCTGGATATGTATGAACATTTCTGTTAAAAATACATATAACAATATTTTTATGTCAGATACCATGCAGATGGCACTGATATGGGACTGGCATGTCACAAATATGTGTGAGTGAACATTTAGTCGTACTGGCTCTTATGATTTTGTGTTCTTTCATTCCATGTATCTTTCAATATTATTATGCAAAACCATAAATTTAAAACTACTTTAAAGCCTAAATTATTTCTTTCATTCATATCTGCTACCACTGCTCTGAACCTACTATTTTTATATTCTGAGCCTTGAAAAAATGTTAATATTTACAGAATGCTCAAGATCTCCAAGAGATTCCAGCAGGCTGCCAAAACTGGCGAGTTCTTCTCCCTTCACGAATGGAAATTTCACTGTGACAATGTTTGTGCATTAATGTGTGATGCACAAGATAAAACAACTTTTGATGTTGATGTTTCACAATTAGATTGGGACAAGTATGTCAAATGCTACATGCTTGGAATTCGAAAATTCATCCTAAAAGATTCCAATGACACGATACCTGGTGCCAGAAAGAAGCTACAGAAGTGAGTACACATATATGAAGTATATATTTCATAATCCATATTACAATAAAACAGATTTTATGGTGACTTCACATTCTTTGTATATGGATTAAAGAGCTCCTTTTTCTTTTTACTCGTTTCTATAATGGTTATTCTTGAAAATATATTTAATGAATCTATTTAATCTGCTGAATAATAAACACAAACATTTTCAATAAATTTCTCATCTGTTATGGAACCTGAAGGTTCATTATTGTGTTCATAAATTCCCAGATTATGACTTAAGAAAATTATATATAGTGGATTCTGGTTAATTAGGACACATTGGCATAGAACACTGCCCCAATTATGCAAAGTTCCGTGTAAAGAGTTAAAAAAGGGTTGTTCTTTAAGATTTGTCCCAAATAAATGGCTGCCCAAATTAACCAGAATCTAATGTATATATGTACATGGAGGTTAACCTTAAGGACAAAATCTGTCAAGATCTTAATACTAAAAGTTGTGAAGACAAAGATATTTCTGTTGACTTTATAAATTAATTATAATTCTACATACATCATAAAGAAGAAGCTACTGAATTTATTTTTTATTGTTTCCTGTGCAGACTGTACTGGATTCACCGCTTCACACAGGTGCTGATAGTGGCTTTCTTTTTGAGAATTGCAACACTAAGCTGATGGATCCAAATAAATTAACATCACTTAGCATCAATCACATTCACCAGGTTAATAAATATTTATATTTTATCAGAATTACTGTGCAATTTTATTTGGTTTATTGAAAGGAGTATATTATACTAACAGCTACCCAAGATGTGTTTTATCTGGATTTTATGTCAGAATAAGATCATATTATTCATCTAACAAAATCTAAAAATCTAAGTGCTTGATAAAAACAAAGTCTCATTCTCAGTACCTGTTACAATGAAGGATAGCTTTTGGTGTATTTAACAAAAATCTACATGTTTCTGGGTTTTAATTTTGCAGATTCATACACAAACCAGATAAATAAATTAAAATTATGGTACAACATAATGCTTACATATGTGGTAAATATATTGTAACGACAAACCATTCAGATCATTACATGTTTATCTAGGTTCCAGAACTTAAACAAAATCGTGACAGACATTCTAACCCTCTTGTTTAACACTTCAATAATTTAATATAATGTAGATTTCTGTGTATATAAAACTGGAATACACACATACATGGAAGAAGAGTAAGAAAAATTTACTAGAAGAATATGTCTCCCACAAATTGCAACACGTCAAGAGAGACAAGAGTGAAGATTACACTTGCTACAGACCATATGATATTTAAGTCCATATACTATGGATCTGCTAACATGATTTTAATTCTGGAGAGGTTAACAGTAGTGATATATTATTAAAACACAGCAAAATATTTTTATGCAAAGTATCTAATATTTAACATTAATTATAAAAATGTTCAGAGAAATAGTCACTAGTTTTATATGTCTCACATCAAAATAATGTTAACATTATTTTTTGTATATCATTCATCAGTTATTTGTAATATATTCATTATCCTACAGAATGAATACTTCAGTGTAGTTATAACTGTTAATTGATATGTAAGACTTTAAAACATGCATGAATATTATAACATTTTTTGTGGTCTGGGGGGGGGGGGGGGGTAAAAAAAAGTCAATGTTGCAATGTTGAGTCAGATGCCAACATTTCAAAGACTAGGGTGATGATGGAGACAAAGATAGTCTTTAAAACATTGGTGTTTGACTCAACATTGATGTGTCTGGATGCCAAGAAAATTTTATATCAATGGACATGTTTATTGCCCAGCTTTGTGAAAAATTATATCAGGGCCATCAGAAGCAAGGGTGGAAGGGAGTTGGTCATTCTTTTTACAGCTTGGCCACTACTTATAATGCAGAGATGTTCTCTGAAGTTCCCACTCCCACAGTTTTAGAACAATTAAGGCATATTTTTTCTGTCACTACTTACAAAATAGTTATTTCTTTCAAACTTCCAGTATGTAACTTTGTGATAATTTTAGCTGAACCATGAATAATATGGTTTTATTCTGATCTTTGTGCCATGCACATAAAACATTCTACAAACGAAAAAAATTGTCTCTGTAACAATTTTGGTCCTACATTGACACTGCATCCATACACCTGTCAGTAATTGGTATTACTGAAAACTGATATTCTCTCTTGAAAGCTTCTTTTATAACAATGTTTTATGGGAAAAAGTTTATCACAGTTACTTAATACTTCATGAATGTAACATATCTTTAGTTATTCTCTCATCTGTCTAGCATAAAGATAAAAGTTGAGTGGGTGGAAAGACAAAAGTCACCCTTTGCAGGTTATCATTTCATCCCCAAACTTGATGAGTTGACACATCAGAACCAGACTAAACAACATGAATTAGTTGTTATCAAATTGGCTGGAGCAGCTGATGTGAAAATTAGTGAAGGATGTGTTTGAGTATAATTGTTTATATAATTAGGCATTTGGCACATTTGTAAAAATATTACAGGAATATAAATTACATTCAGTATGTGTATTTTAAACAAGTGGTGTAAATGCTAGACTATAATGTCATATAGGTCAGTAAACAGTATTTGACATGGAAGAGGCCAATTTATGATGAGTACAGTAGGCCAACTAAAATAAGTTGTCTTTATAAAAATGTGTGTGTATACTAAATATACCACAAATCACAGTGTGATTGTGTTTTGTAAATTTTAAACTGTAATCAGTATACAAATGTGTGACTGTCCTCTTCGAATCTTTAAAGCAGCTCATTCAAATAATGTTTTTTGATAAAGTATTTTAACTGAAATGTATTTTTGTGGCATGAAGACTTATAACATTTATATCCATGCATCATTATTTTCTACATACATATGTACCATAAATATACAAATGCAACATTTAAAGAATTAAACTGGTATTTTATGTGTTCTCATCACAAAGACATAGTTTATTATGTTTTATGACACATATGTGAGCATTATTTCACAGTGCAGACTCAATCCTTTAGCATGTATAACAACATTTTTGAAGCCCTCACTGTGTGAAGTCACAGGTACAGAGTAGAGGTTTGGTTTGTGCTTTGTTTAAAGTTTGACTGGCAGACTCAATATAACAAAATTTCTTAGACATACAGAACAGTTCATAAACAAACTACGCAATACCGGTACTCTAAAAAATTAAATTTTACTAAACAAAAATGTTTAACAATATAAGAAATGTAGAGACAAAATTACTTAAATGTAGTTTTCTGTTTCTGTGGTTTATCATGTAATCTAAAAGGCCCTGAACGCCCAGTGGCAACTAATTGTACTTACTATCTGCTTTAACAATCAGTAATTCTGGATTTTTTTTCCACAGAGTGTATTTATGTGTTTTGTATGATTCTCAGAGTAAACAGCTATTATTTCCTTAAACAGCATTAATCAAATTATCTTTACAATGGAGAAACAATGTATTTTCTTTGAACAGGAACTGAATGTTTAAATATTCTTCATATGAGCTTCAGCTTCAAAGGGCTAACCATGTTTCTCAAGTACTATTCACTATATATAGTGTATATAACATAAAATATTTACCCCATTGCTAGAAGAAAGAAGAATAAATTTATCCCACTAGTGACCCGCACCCAACACAGAAAAAGAAATTCAGAACCTTACTATATGAACTGTGTTTACAAACCACATGCAACTTTCCTGTCCCAGCTGTGGAGTTAGAAATACATTATTGCACCCCATGAAAACTGAGCCTCCAAAAGAAATTTACAGCCCTGTGACCCACCAGTGTCTCTCACAGTACTAAAATCTATTCTCATGAGACCCATCAGTGACTCTTACGACAGCCAATGTGTTTTAAAAGAAAACAGAACTCTGTGTCGAAAGTAAAGTTCACATATAATATTTCTCTCATTAAATTCTGTAACTTTGGTCTAAAACATTTTTCACTTTGGTAAGTATTTAACACCCTGATATTGGAGGCAGTGCACACTTCTGGAACAATGGTAAATTTCTACCAGACTATGTGATGCAACATCTCAGAAGACACTGAACTTTTTTTCCTGACATCTAGAGATATATTATTTGCAAGTATCTGTATATCAACCTGAAGTACACAATATGGGCATACAAAAAAAAAGGTATGGGATCCTTTCCCATTGCATCCCACTTCAAACACCACACCATAAAGATATAAGGAAACGAACATAAAGCTCACACAATCTGTAATTACCCAGTTTATAATGGCTAGGCAGCACCTGTTAACATTTTAAATATAGTGGTGAAGAGAGAACCCCATTCCCCCACCAATAACCAAATCTTGGCTATCCGATACATAACCTGTCACTTTAGAGTCTGATCTATCTGAGAGATCCTGAGTTGACTATTCAACAGAAGAACAGCTATTATTGGTGACATTTATATGTTACATTCTACTCTCTCCACAGAAATGCTTGAAGTTTATCATAATTGCCCCTTCTTTCTTCATCTTTCCCAATGAACCAACCATATCATCCTGCCACTTCTCATTTTGCTCTACACAAACTATGCAGCTAATATAGCATAATTTAAAGGGCAATAAACAAACAAACACATGAATTGATTTAATGTAAACTGGAAGCATGACAAAACAGAATAAATCAGAAGCATTGGAAAAGTCATGAAAGATGTACCTCAATAAAGCTTTGCTCCTTAAGTGGAATGAAGACAGCATGATCTTCAGTTTGCTTGGTATGAGGTTAAAACGCACTACACTGAACACCAAACCAATGGTTTCAATACAGAAGTGATCAGTCTTCATTTAAACATGACATATAACAGTATATATGTCAAATTTTAAATGATCATTAATTTATTGAAATTGATGCAACAGTCTTGTTTAAAAACATAAACATAACAAAGCAATTACCTCCAAAATGCTGGTATATACCTACAAGTCCACATTATATAACAAACCAGAAAACCAACATAAAGAACTGAATATTGAATCTATCACACTCATAGAATCCATATATTTTTGACCTGACAATTAGATATAGCATAAAGTTGTGCAAAAAAATTATGGCATCTATTTTCCTTTATATGTTTCTATTTATACGGAGAGGCTAGCAAGAACTATAAATTAATACATATATATCTGTGCAATATTTCCACTAGTCCAAATTTCAACCATGTTAAAATTGTCAATTATAAGCTCAAAGATATGTTCATCGAAACCTGATGATGGGGAAGGACATGGTTCCTGAAACATTGGTCTTTTGCAACCAACTGACATGGTTGACAGCCTAAGAATATTTTATTGAGTTTAGTTGGCATAAAAGCTTCAAATTATATATCAAAGGTATGTAGTGTATCATTGTTGTTAACATATAAAAGAATTTTCATACAGAATTTTTAGGTGTGAAGATGGCTAGTAACCAAAAAACTAAGGGCAGAAACAGATTTAGATTGTCATTATG